ATCTTTTTTTGAACGCATTGTAGAGAGATTAATAAATTAATGTTTGGAAATATCGATACGTAATGCATTTCTTGTTTTATATATGCGGAATTAATTTGTTAATTGAATTATACTTAACAAATTTAAACTTGCAAGTATTTGTTGTATTTATTATTATTGAATAATACCAAGTAGTATATTGATTAAATATTTTGAAAAATATCATGTTTCACTTATTTTGTGCCATTCATTTTATGGATATAAATGAATTTTAATGGAAATTATGTTGATTTATTTTTGCAAAAAAAGAAAAAAGGTTAAATTGACAAATCCAATACATATCAAAGTTATATTTATATACTCTTTGCAAACGAATATCATCGGCATCAACGGCATCAAAGTTATAATTAAGCGGAATTAAATTAAATTAAATTAAATTAATAATATACACGATGCTCAATAATTACTAATAATAAAATTTCCATAAAAAAATATAAACATACTCTTCTTTATCCTAAATATTTAAGTGTTTAAATTCATAATTTCCATATTTCATATAGAAAAATGTCCATTTGTCGGGAATCAAAGTCAGATGAGTCGCCTGCAAAAGATTAAAATGAATTATATTAAAATTGTATTAAAGTGAATAATGTAGTCATAAATCAAATAATATTCCTGGTTAAATGAATATCCATCACAGATTAATTTACTCTAAGAATCACCAATCTCTTTTAAGAGAAGATTTCATCTATGGAGTTGAATTCTTAGCACGTATAGAAAAAAATTAAATCGAGTCCGCGTGAAAAATTTCTTCGAATTATTCAAGAAGAACATCGACATTCAAAAATTATTTTTTAACTGAAGTAATCATTACAATTTGACGAGAAATCTACTGTATATAATATTTCCATATTAAACCAAAATTGATTAAAAAAATCTTTAATCAATTACTATTATATGATATTTCATTCATTGGCAAAAGAAAATTTGTCCCAAAAGATCGGTAATCGAGAAGAAACACAAAGAAACATAATCAACATATCGAAAGTTTGTTCAAAGATCAGAAAAAAAAAGGGTTAAAATTATACATTTCTAAAGTGAACAGTTCAACTACGTAAGAAACTATGGAATAAGATCGGCCAGATCTTGCGTTAGATCTTGGAAAAAAATGAGCAAAGATAGGTTATTCGTGCAAAAAAATATAAACGAAATCCAATAATAACCGGAATATTGCAATAAAGCGTAATATTTCAAGAAACATCGCGTGGGCGATTCCACGAAACGCAAATGAAAAAGTATTCATCCGATAAACCGGCTATTTAATGTCAAGAGTTCAGATTGAACTATCGAGACACGTGGCTCCCCGTCAAATTTGATTACTCCCCAACGTAGCAACCCACGATTTCACGATATTACAACGTAATTAATTGTATACCAAATTTTCTTTTTCTTCCCCCCCCCCTTCAATATTATTCTCCCTGTTTTTCCGCAATTTAAACGATACGAAATCAAGTGTTACGTACTTGAAGATACCCGAGTTAATCGAGAAATTAATTTATTCGTCTTCGAAAACGTGGAAACTATCGGGTGGACCAACCCTCGCGTAAGGACCAATTTTGAGCAGATCGTGCCCACTCAAAACACCATTAAGCCCGAGTTCATTGGTATCTAACATCTCTCTCTCTCTCTCTCTCTCTCTCTCTCTCTCACGTTCGTGTGTATATTCGGGCTACACTCGCCAAGGGTGGATATGATTGACGAGCCCTTAAACGAAATGGGATTAATGCGCGTGCAAATTTCAAACTCCATCCCTCCGTGAAGGGAAACGTCGGCCGGGCTTGGCTGATAATCATTATTATTAACGACGGTATTAGCATTCGACGAAGTGAGGACTCAAAGGGAGGCCGGGCCACTCTATTTTCCGAGGATCGAAAACGGCCGGGCGACAAAGATGAGGGAAAGTTTGAGGAATCCATTTTGTTCTAATTGACTTCGTTCGAACATCTCGAGAGACGTAGAAAGATTTAGAAATAAAAGTGCTATGCGTTAATTTGTCGATTCGAACAAGGTTCGAAAAGGCGTGTACATCCGCGGATGATTAATTTCTGAAAGGGACGCCATCTCTTCGCGATGTTGCCTTTTGAAACGGCCGGTTAATGAAGAAGTTTTCTCTTCAGCCACCGGCCAAGGCGGAAAATTATTAATCTATCCTCGGCGTTGACTCGAGTCTTTTGAATAGCGAATTGATTTTTTCCCTTTTTTCTCTTCGCCGCGATTAATTCTTGAAACAGATTTGCCAAATATCCGAACAGTTTCATACATTACGCGATATTTGTTTGACTTTTTAATCTGATCGATTTATTATTTGCCTAAATTATTTATAAGTATATTCAGTTTAATATACATTATAATAGTTTGCAAAGTTGAATAACTCGAATAACTAGAACTCGTTACATTTTAAAAATCAATAATATCATATTAATTCATTTTAATGTATAAGTGTTATTAAATATTATATATGTGCATACATTACATGAATATGTAAAAGTATAATATTAAAATTTTATACAAGTATAAAAGAATCGTAAAGAATAAGATTATGATAAATCGTTAGATTGTAAGTCAAAAATCAAAAGGCGAATTTTAATTTCTCGAAATTTCTTTCTCGTAATGGATCAACCTTTTTGAAGGAAGGAAAAAAGTTACAAGGAGATTGGCTTCCTTTGGAAAATTTCGTGGCCAAGTTGAGAACCGGAGATTCGAAAGGCCTGATCGAGAGAGAAAAGTAAATAATTTAACGAATCGTACGACCCTGATATGGAAAACTCATATCGTCAGTTCAAGGTATCGCACGTATCGATTCCTTTGTAGACAAAAGTCTGGGAGTCGGTTCCAAAGAACATCTCGAAACGGTGGAATCAGGCCACGTATACAGTAGCCTTGAGCGGAATATCGAAGACGTCGAAGATATTCACCGACTTTTCAATCTTCGACTCTTGGCATACTTTTCGAGAAGTCGATAAAAAGGACAATAGAAAAATAGGGACCGATAGAACTGGTTAATCGGCCCACGCCAATCACACACATAACACACGGTTACATCAGTTAATCCCATCCAAAAATTATCTTTCAATATTTCAATTAGAAATATATATTTGAGTTAAATTTATAAAAAGATTGAAATTATCGATCATGAAAATTGTGTTGTTACTTTCATGATGGAATGCTCTTCTTGCGAACGATCGCAATCAATCGTTGAATCATATTTAGAATTACGTATCTATTATGCATGTTCAATTATAATGAATTCACAAAGCATTTCTAAAAAAGATTATAACTTTTTATTCAATCCTTGGAAACAGAATATTCAATATTTTGATAAAATCGATATTTAATTGTTTTTCTTTTTTCTATTAAGCTAATAACAACGAAGAACGATTATTTTACTAAATTTTTACAACCTTTCTTTCGAATATTCTTCCTTTTTCCATTTCGAAAAAACGAGAAAAAAAACTTGTTCAATTACTCGATGAAATTAATCTTTGAAATGAAGACGGAGGAAAAAAGGAAAGACGTAAGATAAAATGGGATTGGAAAAGAGGAAGCGTGTAATATTGTATCGTGCACGCGAAATAGATTTGTCCAGGGTTGGACGGAATGAGTTGAGAAATCGTCGCGAGCGTTGAATTTTCTCCCATAAAACGTTCCCCCGAGGATAAGCAAGTAGATCACCCTGTATACGGGATGGAATCCGTTTCTCGGATTTTACGAGGTCCCGCTTGAGATCTTTTTTTTTTTTTTCGCCTCCCCTTCACATCCCCTCTCTTTTCCTTCCTATCGTTATTCCACCTCTACACTCATCTCCGTCTCACTTATTCAGACGTTTGACGGAACTTGGAATATAAACGATCCCAAACCAAGACCCCTATTGGTACGTCAGCTTCAACTTCAGGGGAGTAAGGAATGATAGATCGACTTTTTCGACTGGCAGGGTGTAAATATGCGGCCTCTGAAAGACAACTTGATGAGACGGTTCCTGTTCGATGCCGGAAACTGCTCTCTCTCTCTCTCTCTCTCTCTTTATATATTTGTGTATCTCGCTCTATCCTTCGCTTTCGACGAGGAAATCGAACCGTTCGATCCGTTCAACTTCTTCGTGAAACTTTGTCTCAAAACGTTGACTTGGGAAAAATTATGTTGGTATAAAAATTTTAAAGTTGATTAAATATTAAAGAGGAGAGAAAGAAAAGAGATGATAGAGGAGAAGATAGGAGGGTATTAAATATTCCCTTTGTTTTTTGATCTGAGGAATCTTTTTTTTAGAATTGCTATAAAAATAATTAAGAAAATTTCTAATATATATATATATGTGTGTGTGTGTGAGTGTTTCAAACTTTAAGAAATTTACCTTTGAATTTTTTACCGTGAAGCAGTGTTAAATCGTTGATGAAAGAATTAACATTTATGCTATAAGAATATCAATTATATAATAACATGATCGTAATTTATTTTGTTTTATAATTTTTTCAAGCTTCCCTTTCCCTTTCCTTTCAACTTTTCTCTTGGCATTTTTTATTTAAATAAATAATTAAAATTCATTTTGTTTTGTTTAATCAATTTATCAATTTACTCTTTCTCGATAATCAATTATATATATATATATATATATTGTCATACAATATTATTGAAAATATTCAAATTCTCATTAATATTTTGCAACTACAATTATTAATTTATATTTTTTGATTCTTAAATGAAAAAAATATCGCGAGAAACGACTTACAAAAGATTACAACAATATAATAATCACTTCATTTTACTCAAATTTTAATTATTAATTACAAATCTCTGTACCGTAATCATAATCATATTTCTATCGTATCAATTCTATAGAAATTTCCACGAAAGATAAATTCGTCGCCGTTGACAGTGTTCGACATTTTTAATTCTCTATAATCGAACCAATAATAACAATAATAATCCGAAAAAGGATCGAAGGCGTAATTTTTAATCAATCGTAGGTGAACTTCGGCGACGTGTTCATCCCGGCAAATTTAAAAGTGCCGAAGGCAAGGGTGCTGCCAGAATTCTCGAGGCTGGCCCACGGTCTCCGTAGCGGGAACATCACCATTCTAGATAGCAAAACTTTTTACATTCCGAATCTGCATTACGATGGTGCCGGGCCGGACGCCTACTTCTGGGTCGGGAACGGGTCAGAGCCTACCACGTTTGGTATCAAAGTGCCAAACGAGAGGAAAAGGTGGGTTCTTCCGTTTTTGAATTCACGAGAAGAATCAGAGAGCAAAGAAAAAAAATTTTTTCCCCTCTACAGTTTGGCACCGTTGAAGGGCTATCAAGGAGAGGACATCGAAATCGTTTTGCCGGGCAACTTGACGGTGCACGACATCGACTGGTTGTCGGTATGGTGCGTGCAATACAAGCACAACTTCGGGCATGTACTGATACCCAAGGACCTCGATGTTCCGCCTGCTCTTGGACAGACCAAAATTACGGTAACTGAAAACCGATGTTCAAGATCGAACGAGATTCCATTTTGTAGTATTCATGCATCTCTTAACCCTTTCGCTACCAAGGACGAGATATCTCGCCCGTGGATCTCTCTCTCTCTCTGTGAAATTGACTTTTATCGTTACTACAGACGAGATATCCCGAGTTCCGAAATGAAAAGGCGCGCGAGATATCTCGTCCAATGGCATCTTGCGATATTTTTGTTCGACGAGATATTTCGTCGTTGGCAGGAAAGGGGTTAAAGTGTTAAAAAAAAAAAAACTTCTCAAATTAGATACGACATTTCATTAACGAAATGTATTTTTATCGGGATAGCCGCCTTGGTGGTACGATCCTGTAAGTAACTGTAGAGTCTATCAAACAGATTTCGACGTTCGTCAGAGACAATCATTCAGTTTTTTAATTAGTTATAACGCGATCAACCGCATAAAAAGAGGAAAGGGGGAAGAAAGGAGGGCAAAAATTTGCAAATATTTTTTCCAGACAAGCAGTACACCATCACCGCCCCTGTCCAAACACGAGCTGACCAATTGCAAGGAAATGCTGGAGGGCCGTGTACAAGTGCAATGGGAGATGATAGGGGACGACATTCAGATCAGAGTGTCTGGCCGGATCAGGGAGGACCAGTACGTTGCGTTCGGTTTATCAGGCCGAGAGGGAAAGTCAGAAATGATCGGTGGCGATGTGGTGGTGGTCGCTTACAACAACAGGACCGATAAATTCATCGCCGAGGACTATTATATGTCGGATTACGCGCAGTGTGACGGGAGGAAGGGCGTGTGTCCGGACGAAAGGATTGGAGGGAAGAACGACGCTGTTCTTGTGCATGGAGAACGAAAGAACGGAGTGACGACAGGTAAACATTTTTTCATGTTTACTTATAAATGTACGTAAAGACTTGTTGAAAAAGTGATTCGTCGATTTCTAATTTCTGCAAGAGCATCGATTTTAATCTTTAAAATTATGAATCTTTTCTGTATCTCTCGAGATTCTTCGAGAATTTATTATAATCGCTTTTCAATTAAATTTATGCGATATGATCGATTAGAAAGAAAATTGTATAACTGCTTAATATACGTTGATTTCTAACTTGAAACAAGAATTTCTTAAGAAACTCTTAATTACAAACGGTTTATTTATCGTGCTGGAATTAAAAATCGATTATTTGTTTCCGTATTCTCGAATAAAGAACATTCTAACATAAATATGTTCATATAAAAAATAAAATTCCTCTTTGCACCAATTTTTCCTAGATCTTCACTTGTTTATCTTCATGGCATCACACCAAATTTCATCTCAATCGATCGCCAATGTCTTTCATAACGATATCCAAAATTTTAGATTAAATTATCGCGCATACATGAGAGACGTTTGTTTCATCGAGTAAATGCAAGATTACAAATAAAGTTGATCGGTTATCTAAATAAGTAACAAATTCTTCATTAAAGTTTTTTACCACTCGTATTTTAACATTCGTGAAAAATGTTTCAGTTACTTATATGAGACCGATGAGCACGAACGAGCCAGTGAAGGACAGAATGATCCCAAATACAGAAACGAGCGTGATCGCTGCAATAGGACCTCTGAATTTGAGAGGAGAAGCCAATGCTCATCAAAGCTTCGACAAGACGACCGAGGACATCCGTATTGATTTTACGTCGAGAAATGTGCACGAGTGTACAAATTCCCTCTACAATCTCCCGGACATGTCTGACATCAAACCCTGGCCCGTAGCCGTAATCACCAACGAAACTATGTTCAGTGCTAGGATCGGGCCTGCCGGTGGGAAAAGGGGATACACGAGAATTACAGGTAACTTTCCTCCTATCCTATAAAACTTCTTCGACCGGGGATCTTGATCCACCATCAATTTTGACAATTTTTCTTTCCTTTATCCTACTATCTTTTTTATTTTATTTACGTATTATTTATATCGTTGATCGATTATAATATCTTGATAATTAAATATATAGGACAACCTGCTTGGGGTATCGCGTGGTACATCAACGATTTGCTCATCCCAGAAATCACGGTGGAAAGAGGACAGACGTACACGTTCATAGTGGAGGGTGGGAACGATCCAGCTAATCCAGCCAGGCAAGTTGGAATTTCAAGCTAACAACAGCCCAGTTTTTTATATTCTTGATTTCACTTCGACATTCGATAATAAAACAAAATACAATTCATATATTTCGTTATTTGATTGCAATTTCATTTCTAATTATAATTAATGCGTAAAATCAAAGGTATCATTGAATCGTTATTTTACAAAATCTTTCCTTTTCAAATTATTCAAGGAATAATCCAGTTTGTATAGAATGTATTTTATTCATTTAGGTACCATCCATTTTACATCACCAACAGTCCAGAGGGTGGATTTGGTCAAAAAACTGAGGATGAACAAAAGGCGCAAAAAGTGTTCGCAGGAGTAAAGTACGAGGATGGATATCCTTATCCAACTGCGGCTGGCCGCTATTGCGAATGGGTTCACAAGACGGTAGATATGAGTGCGGACATGGAGACTTTTGAAAATTTCTTCGAGACCCTTAGACTCGAGTGTGACAAGGGTGAACCTGCGAAACTTGTTTGGACCGTGACCGAAGATACTCCAGATTTAGTTTATTATCAGGTATTTATATTAAAATATAGTTACGTCAAATTAATGAAAAAAATTCGATAACTTATTAAAGTTATTAAAAGAATTAAAAGTTATAATGTTATTATAATTGAATTGATTGGAAGTTTAATAATATCATATAATGTATTACTAAATATGGGGCATAATATTGGAAATTTTGTTTTTCTACAGTGTTACACGCACAATAACTTGGGCTGGAAAATACACGTTGTCAACAGCGCACACACGGCCGTATTGTCGATAGTCACGACGACGTTTGTCGTTAGTATGTTAAAATTCATAAGATGAATTAACCTTCAAATATCGTTTGGCGGGGAATACGCGGGAACATGTGCGAGGATTAAATTGAAACAAAAGATGGAAAAGGATAGGAAATCGAGAGAAGAGAATAAAATTCGCGTAAAATAAGGTGGTGATAGAACAGAAAAACAAAAAAAAAAAAAACAAACAAAAAGCGATTGTTAAAAATCTGCTGAACACGATACAAGGTTGTAAGAAAGTATTTAGCTCGTAAGGTTTAATCGTACGTAAAAGATTAGCAAGAATATTTTTAAGATCTATCAGATTCAATATTTCATACTATACTATATATATATATATATATATATGTATATGTATATTTATATTTATATATACAGATACATATAAATATATATATATATATACATATATATTATATACATATACATAAATACATATTAACACGGCACTTGAGGAGAACGAGATTCGAGGTGATTTTTAACGTTTAAGAATTTAAGAGACTACTTAGGAAAAAGGAGAGGAAGAATAATTTCTGACAATAATAATAATAATAATAATAATAAAAAAATTCGGAATCGGGGTATATAAACGTAAATAATTTCTGACAATAACGGTGAACTTGTGTTATTTATCATGGGATGGGATGGGATATATAATTTATCAAAGAGAATTTCTCGATCGATATGATCGATATATATATATATATATATATCGGTGATAAACGAAAGAACGGGGAAAGTATCCGTGGTACATGTACAATGTAAATTTTGCACAAAGCTATAGTTGAGTATAATGTAACATTAAAGATCGAGTAGCACTTAAGATATACATTTATAAATGCTGTCGACTTGACAATAATACGTAGGGTAGTGAACGATGAAGGAATCGCTGAAGAATAAAAGAAAAAAAAAATAATAAATAAATAAGATAAAACGAGAAAATATGTACAAGGTATCGTCAGACATTATATAACTTTAAGGGTGATACAATTACAAAACTATCCCTTATACGTGTAACAATGCTATAATATGTACATATACTATAGAGTGGACCTTCCTAAAACGGGATGAAAGTATAAAATGTGCCTTGGGTACAGATAATAAACTTCTCTAATTACACGAATTAGGAACCACTCGGACAAATGATGCCCTGTAATACTTAGGAACTGGTTTCTTGCGCTTTAAAGTAAGTAAGTTCTTGAAGAAAGTAAAAATAATCCCATTTTATAAAAGTAAATCAAATAAGACAATTAATCTAATTTGAAGAAGATTTAAAAAAAAGACAAAGAGTATTCAAAGAGACGTACAAATCAAGAATCGAGAGGGATAAGAAATCGTGCAACCAAGAAATCAGAAAAATACATAATCACTTTAGGAACTAGTAGAGATTAGCAGAAAGAAAAAGAAAAAAAAAAAAGAATATATCTCTTTCACTTTTTAAATATGAGTGTAAAAACTATGCAATAGTTCAGATTCTAAGTAACAGGGTGTCCTCAAAATTGCTAGCAGCGAACAAAATTCTTTGCAATTTCGATTGCTTATCGCACGAAGACCAGCCTGTATTTAATTACATATGCATACCTAACATAAACATTATATATATACATACATATATATATATATACATATATTAAACATACATACATTACACGAGGTACTATGCATAACATGATGAAACAAAATTCGAAAATTTACATCGTTTTAGCTGCCAACGTTGTTCAATTTGTATTCGTAATTTGTAAGCGATAACCACTTGATAGTTGGATAAAGATCTAGCATTATTTATACCGTTTCCCTCTCCTTTCGACAAGATCGATTCCTCTTCTTCATACAATTCGTGAAAGGAAGCGACGAATACATTGGACATCGTTGCCCCAGCTTTTACGTGAGATGCGTACGAAGAAAGGAAAAGGAAAAAAAAAAAAAGAAAAACAGTGTTAAGTAAGGAAATTACACGCGTTGTAAAATTGTAATCAAGCGACAATAAGACGAAATCGATCCGAACACGTTTGGATCCAAATAATTCCGGCAATACTCGACGACGATCCTTCAGAGGATTCCACATAATTTCCTTCGCGTCTGCATACCTTAGAATAACGCATCCTCCGTCGCCATTTTTTTTGTTCTTTGCGTTATTTTTCTCTATCTCGCTTCTCTATTCCCCCTTATTCTGTCTGTGTCCTTTTTTTCTCTAAGCGAGTCCTTCGAGAGAGCGAGGCGGATTGTAACAATGTAAGCGGATATATAAAACTCCTACTTCTGTGGAAGACAATAATGTGACGATGACCGACTCAAAAAAAATTCGAGGGGGCTGCTCCGAGCGAGTCGGGGAGGAAAGTAGCATTTCGAAGAGAAAAAAGAAAAAAAAAATCCGAGACTTGCTGTCCCGCGTTTGAAGCTTTTCCTCGAGACAATAAAGGTGTATCTTCATAAGCGTCGATTATCTATTTGACAATAAAAACGTTGCCCCGACAATAAAGAGTTCTATATTTTATGACGGAGATGGTAAAACGTATCCAAACAACGAAGAGACACTACGAAATCTCGAAAAAACTTCTTCGAAAACTCAAAAATTTGTCAAATTTCGAAACATTTTTGTCGACTCGAAACTAAATAATAATTGTTACAAATCATTGAATTTAGATTTAGTTTAATTAATTAAAAAGACAAAGACAGTTTATCGTGGAAGTGAATTTGAAGAATTTCGAGATTTGTTAAAGTTTAAATTTTTGAATTTCGATACCTTCAGAAAATTTCGAGATCTTATAAAGTCTCTAGTCTTAAACCTTTGACAATATTTTAATGGGTACGCTTTACCATTCTTAATTTTGAAACGATTTGGACAATAAATCACGATCGTTTTTAGATGCCACGATCGTTCGTGTTAATTGATTAGATCGAGCGATAACGCGGCTATTTGACAATGGTTGCAGTAAGGAAACGCAGGACAGCGGGTGTTATTTGTTAGGGGACAAACATGTATCTGTACGGATCAATTATTCGAGGTGTAAGTGTACAAAGAAAAAATTAAATGGCGTACAGTTCCGCCTACATTAAGCTACTAGTTATATATAATATATATATATATATATATATAAATGAATGTACAGAACGAAACGAAAGTTTTAGATAGGAATGTAAAGAAATCTTCTCTTTTTAATAATCTCTCGTCTCTCCTCTCCTCTCTTTTTCCCTCTATCCGTCTCTTTCGTATACATGTACACTTTTACGTATGTATCTCTTTCTCTCTCTTTGTCTCTCGTTTTCACTTCCTTGTAGAATATTCACGGAGCAGCCCGGCGATATCCCTCAACTTGTTAGCGATTAAGGAGCAAAACGATAGTTTAGAGGTTAAGTAAAAAACTTTCTTTTTTGCTGTATCGACGTGTAATTTAAAAATAACAACAATCAAAAAAAAAAAAAGAAGAAGATAAATATCGTACGAAGACCGACCGAAGAGAAGCGATCGTATTATCGATCGGCCATCGATCAGATCAAAAACGATGGCCAAATTCGATGCACGACACCCCGAAACACATCCCGTGAATTTTAAATCGTTTAGCGATTACCTTGTAACTAAACACTTTCATCAAATTTTTGTGTCTCTCGTATCGTAGTGAAAATAGGATTTTAACTCGTGTAACTTTTCTTCCATACGCGTCGATCCTCTCTTGGAAGTCGATGGATCCAAGGATCGATTAATTCGAGGAATTTAAGCGAAGGGGAAAGAGAGATTCGGTAGAATTGTGAATTCTATCTTATTAGCGCTCAATTTGAACGAATTGTCTAAGTATTCGTAAGAACGTTCCTCCCTGCGTGATCCTGGCTGATAGTTTCCACAAACTTCTATATTTGTTATACCTGTTTTTTCTTGTACGATACTTGTTCACATATCCCTACGGACATATCCCTGTAATGTAAGATTCGGAAGGTTTTTGAAAAAAGAAAAAAAAGAAAGAGAGAAAAAAAAAGAAAAAGAAACACGTTTCGATCGATGATTTATTCGAATTTTCTCTTGAATTAATTATATATATATATATATAAAAAAAAAAAATTAGATAGAAATTAACCTGATTAAATTAATATCCTCGAGATCGGCGTTTACGTCTCTGATTTGTCCAAAATGTTGTCTTCTAGGAATATCTCGAAAGGTTGAAAGAGAAAGTGATAAAAGAAAAATAAGGAAATTGATTGTACAAGCGGCGATAAATCATAGAGATAAACAAGGAACAACATTCGAACTAGACGATTTTAATAATGTCGATTAATCAAACGGATGTATAACACTGTCAATATGTATGTAACGACGATGTTCTTTTTCGTTTCAATGATATATCTATAGAGATAACTCGAAGATTTTTAAAAACTGGATATCTTTCTGAATCTTATCCTCGTCGTAGAAATATATTTTCACACTTAAGAACAACGTAGAGAGCGAGAGAAAAAAAGGGAGAAACGGTATATCAGTGCTTCGGCTCTTTGCACTCTTTGAGTATTCTAATATTCTTCCTCTGATTGTCGAAGTCGCACGTGATTTACATATCTATTTACGTGTAAAGAAGAAACGGACGCAAGGAAACACGTATGAATATCGAATTTAAGAAGACAGAACCTTGAAAAGGATTTTATTCGCGTGTGTGCAATATAAAGAACGTACAAAGTGGTATGATAAGAATTGATTTATTATGATAGACCGTCCTGAGTTGTGTTTAACAAATTTTAAGGATCTATTTTTGAACGACGAGAGCGATCGTTGGGCGAGTGTTGTAATATTTTATCGTTAAGAGAGAATCGTGTTTGGATTTGATCGAAAGTAGTAGAATAACCTGTTAATGATCGGACACGAGTGCGAAGAGTTGAAGGGAAGAAATTCATAAAATCCATATCCAAATATCCGTAGATAAGTCGTTTTCAAACATGCTGATACGCACCCATTAGTAATTAGAATGTCTTGTAGAAGATAACTTAGTGAAACTTTAAATGAAGAAACGAAAAAAAAAAAAAAAAAGAAGTAAAATTTATCAAGTTGTATTCTATCTGAGAAATATGTCGAGAAAGGGAGAAAAAACGAAAACGAGCCTAATTCTGGAAAGTATGCCAAATCTTTCGGCAAATTTATCAAGCTCTCGCGTAAACAAAAAAAGTAAAAAAATAATGTAGCATTATCGAAAATGATAAAACAATTGTCAACCGTTTTTTTCAACGTTTACGTGTTAGACTAGACTAATCAACAAAGTAACTCTATTAATCGTGTACTCGTATTACTGTAAAGTCGATTCAATTGTCAAGATTCTTCGTGTTTTTATGAAACACGTGCGAAAATGGTTTCATGACACATCAAATTTTTTAATAATTTCGTCATGTCTTGTGTTAATTAAAAAAAAAAAAAAAAAGGAAAAAAAAAGAAAAAAAAAAGGAAGAAAAAGAAAATGAAAGTATTAAAATAATTTAAATATTAGGCTAAATATAGCAGCCTAATTTTAACAGTTAAAATGCTACTTACATAATCATTGATTCCATTTATCAATCTTTAAAATACGCACGTGTCTAATGTTTATGATCATCTTGAATGCGAAAATAAATCGCTCTGGTCCAGAGTATAAACTTACTAACTGCATACAAAGATGTATACGAATTTGAATTTCGATGTCGATGCAGTATAGTGCATTTTAAGCCATATATGTGTATAATGTTGCACATGTCATTCTTTCTTTTCCTCTTCTTTTTATCTATTTTTGAATGAAAATTTTATGATGAAATTTATACTGCACTACAAAATTTGTGTATCGATAGAGAAATAGGTATTATAAGAATATAAATGCTCAGAATACTTGTTTCACGAAGCTACAATACTATTCTTTATCATAGTATCGTTTAAATTATTTCTTTTTCGAAATTGCAAACAAATTTTTTTTCCTTGATAGTGGTGCTATAAATCTTATTTTGAATAATTAAACTATTAATAACTATTAATACATTGCAATACCTTAATCGATTAATTTAGTAAGTGCATTGTAGCTTTTTGAAATAAGTTAAAAGATTTGTGAAACATTATATTATCAGATCTATACTTCTAGAGTTCTTAGATTTTATTCAAATAACGATTGAATTTAAATATAGTAAATTTTTTCAATGGCTATCCAATAATTCCATATTTTAAAATTTTATGTTCTAGTTCAGCTAAGAACTCTAAGCGAAAGTAATTCGGATGAACATCGAGTAAAGATCTATTTTGGTCAATTATTCCGTGATATATCCTCTTAGTTTTAATTCATTTGTGATTAATTATCGCTTCGAATAATCGCAATTAATTAATCCTCTAATTGAATCATACCATCATATTATGAATTTGATTATTCATTTCTGATAAAATGGAATCATTTCTGTGCAAATGTTAATTTTCTTGATATATAGTCTATATAGTATAATACACGAATAGGTGAAGGTTCAATTATAATGTCAATCCTATTTTTCTTTTTTCTTTTTCTTGTTTTATAAAAACAAAGAGGAAAAAAAAACAAATATATGCATCAAGCCACATAGAGAGACGAACGCTCTCAATAAAAAATGTTATAAAAAGACTGCTATTGCCGGCAAAAAATAACACTCATTGAACATAGAGATTTAGAGATTTCAATGTATGCCATATATCACAAATACCATCGTTCTGTACCGTGATTTTTCTTTTTCCGTTCGATGCGAAGATTCTTTAAAAAAATTTCCATTTACAAATAAATGTTTGTATGTATTTATCTATTGTACACAGATCCATGTCCGAAAGATACCGGCGATATATATGAGATTTGGAAGTGGCTAAACTATAAAGAAACATCGTAAAATTATAATGATTATTATTCCAATGAAAATATCTCAGGATAATGTTTGTCCTTCATTGTCCTTGAGTTTCTCCGC